TTTAAAAGAGTCCCTGTTTCACCTTTGGCCTTCCTTTGTCCTCTAGTAAAAGTCCTTTGGATGCCATCTGTTAATAAGGGTGACTTAGCTACCCTTAGGAAATAGTTTATAAAATGGACCTTGTAGGAGGTCACTTTTTTTTTTATAAAGTTTTGAAATCTTTTTTAATTTTTTTTATTTGACAGGCAGAGTTAGTGAGAGAGACAGAGAGAAAGGTCTTCCTTTGCCATTGGTTCACCCTCCAATGGCTGCCACGGCCGGCGCACCACGCTGATCCGATGGCAGGAGCCAGGTACTTCTCCTGGTCTCCCATGGGGTGCAGGGCCCAAGCACCTGGGCCATCCTCCACTGCACTCCCAGGCCACAGCAGAGAGCTGGCCTGGAAGAGGGGCAGCCGGGACTAGAACTCGGTGTGCCGGCGCCGCAAGGCGGAGGATTAGCTTAGTGAGCCATGGCACCAGCCTTTGAATGCTGTAGTCTTAACACAGCTGATTTTTTTTCCCCAAGAGCTTATAGTAGAGGGTGTGGATTAGGAATCAGCTGCTGGAGTAAGTAAGCCAAGCCTAGGACCTCTGTTTTTCATGAGTTGAAGGAGAGTGGAGATGCTCCTCAAGATACAGCCTCTGTGTCAGAATCTGGGCTACACCAGAGCTGCATGCTTAGAGTTGCAGTCCTGGGGTGGGGGGCAAGAGGAGACTGTTTAGGGGTAAACTGGAAATACAGACTGTCGATTTTTTTTTTTTCCCAGTCTTACAATGGTGTGAAAGCGATGTGCAGATCTATTTTGAGAGACAAACAACAGGCTCGCATTCATTGCTTCATTCTCCAAACCAAATCCAGGTATTCTGATATGGGATGTGGGTATCCCAACCACAGGCCTGAACTGCTAGGCAAGATATTTACCCATTAAATTAATTTTTGTCTTAAAAATCTTTTCCTTTGACAGGGATGTAACTTCATCGTGAGTCAAGGAGCATCTGTAGTTAAGTTTTGTGTGATGAAAATAGTTAACTGGTAAGTCATACCATGTCCAAAAAATGTCAACATAAGATATCAATTCTAATGGAAATGGTTCTGTCTACAACAATCGCAATAAAAACATTTATTTCAGCAACTAAACAAGTTGATTCTAACATTCATGCAGGAAAATAACTATAATCTAAATTAGAATGATAACGGAATATAAATCTCCACAGATGCTGAAACATTAGAAAAAGAAGACAGGGTAGAACTTGACGCTTGAGTTGGTAACTCATGAATGGAACAGGCAAGGCATTCCAAATTGTACTTGAGACATTGGGAAATTTTGATAAAGAGGCAGCATTCTAAGTAAATGCAAGATATTCTTGATATTGTATTGGTACAGGTTGTAGCCATGCAGAAAAAAGTGGGTGCTTATCTAGTTTGTATTTCCCATGATTATATTCCCAATTTTGTATAATGTCTTTTATAAGGATTTGGTGAATGAAATCTAATATTAATTTTTGGTTTCTTGTCCCTTTTTCTGATGATCCTCTGAGCTCTGTGTCTCCTATAACAAAAGTTTGACTTTTCTTCTCTGCACAGTCACCAGATGGCATTAGAGCTTTATGCAAGCATGAGTATTTGCATATCTGAACTGAGATTTGAGAGGCAATCATGTTGCTGTCTGCCAGAGCACCAGAGTCCAATTCATTTAAGAGATGAGGACAGCTCCCTGCCGGTGCTGTGCATGTCCAGTAAAGCCACCACCTGCAATGCTGGTATCCCATATGGGCACTGGTCAAGAGTCCCTCCTAATATATCCAGGAGGGCAGTGGAGATGGCCCAAATGCTTGAGCCCTTCATCCACAGAGACCTAGATAAAACTGGCTTAGCTCCAGCTGTTCTGGTCATTTGGGGAGTGAACCAGTGGATGGGGGATCTCTAAATTTACCTTTCAAATAATCTTAGATGGGAGCCACCGCTGTGTCGCAGTAGGTTAATCTTCAGCCTGCAGCGCCAGCATCCCATACGGGCGCCCGTTCTAGTCCCGGCTGTTCCTCTTCCAGTCTAGCTCTCTGCTATGGCCTGGGAAGCAGAAGATGGCCCAAGTCCTTGAGCCCCTGCACTCACATGGGAGACTAGGAAAGAAGGACCTGGCTCCTGGCTTCGGATCAGCGCAGCTCTGGCCATGGCAGCAATTTGGGGAGTGAACAAATGGAAGGAAGGCCTTTCTGTAACTACCTGTCAAATAAAAATTTTTTAAAAAAAGCGATGAGGACAAGTCAAGGGGAAGGCTTAGCCAAGATCAGTTGGAATCTTAATTTTAAGAGTATAAAGCAGATCATGTTTTTCGTGGGAAAGAGCCAAGATTTGGATCTCCAAAAAATTGTTTTCAAAAGCTAGCTTAAACATGGCTTCTACAGGGGTACAGGGGAGCACTAGCCTTTGATGAATCCTACTAAATGCCAAATCCTAAAAGTGTTAGGATATAAGTCTAAGGTTGTAAAAGTTCTAATCTTAATTTTTATTTATTTATTTATTTTTTTTTTTTTTAGATTTATTTGTGGCTGTTGCTGTGGAGTAGTAGGCCAATCCTCCATCTGTGGTACATGGGCACTGGTTCATATCCCAGCTGCTGCTCTACCGATCCAACTCTGCTTGCGGCCTGTGCAAGCAGTAGGAGATGGCCCAAGTCCTTGGGCCCCTGCACCCACATGGGAGATAGAAGAAACTCTTGGCTTCAGATTAGCTCAGCTCAAACTGTACTGGCCATTTGGTGGGGGTGAACCAGCGGATGGAAGACTTTCTGTCTCCTCTCTGTAACTCTGCCTCTCAAATAAATCTTTAAAAAGCAAAAAAAAAAAAAAAAAGATTCATTTGTTTACTTGAAAGACAGAGGGAGACCACCTTCCTTTTTGTTTCCTGATTGTGTTGTCAAATGCTAAAATGTTCCTTCCACCACTCTGGGATTCTGGCTTCTGCCAGATGTGGCTCTTTGTCATCAGTCTCCAGGTTCTGCCCCATCCCCTGACCTTCCCACTCACCCCAACGCTCTTTGGGAAAGCCAAGAAATCACCTTGTGTGTTGTAACTCATTTGTTTCAAGAGACAGTCAAAAGATTATATTTAATGTCTTGAATAAATTGCTCCACTTTGATATTGGAGGGGGAAGGGACAGACAGATCTTTGATCTGATGGTATATTTCCTAAGTGGCCAAATTTCCAGGGCCAAGCCAAGCAGGAGCCAGTTGTGCTAGGTTATGCTGCCTTTCTCAGGTGCATTATCAGGGAGCTGGATTGGAAGTGGGATGTCATTATCACAGGCAATGACTTTGCCACATCACCAGCCCAAAAATTATGCATATATTTTGAATGCCATTAACTAGGGCACATATTCACCAGTTTATACCAGGTTTCAAGAGGCTGTTTGTCCTGCATTTGAATTTGTAACCCCAGGGAAATTGCCCTTTCTTACCTTTCCAGCTTTATCTGCAGTTTCCCAGAGTCCACCTATGAAAGAATATGCCAAAGTGTGGGTTTTCACACATGGTGTCCCTTCTGCCCATAAATTGCTTCATTACCTTCACCTAGTTAATGGGCTACTGGTCAGATGATAGACTAGCTCACACTTGTTCTGAGGACAGTTGCCATCCCTCAGTTACTCTGCTACCTGTTTATACTGAGATACTAATTGTTATTGGTTCACTGTCTTCATAGGATGTAAATTCCATGAGGGCAAAGAAGATAGCCTTTGTCTAGTTTATTGCTGTTTCCCTGAGGCCTAGCATGCTAACAAAATGAGTCCTCCCTAAACCCTTTCTCACAAAATTAGCTTGAGGTAAAGTATAATTGAATCATGGGCTTGCGGCACATTTTGTAGATATAGCAAATGGCCATCATATGTGAGGTTAACAGCTACGCTGTTTTCAGTTTCTGTCTGAGAGGCTCCAAGACACGACCACCTTTGTCACCTTTGATCAATTACATATATATGTATGCATGTATGCATTTTAAGGCAATGTGAAAGATCCAATCACTGGATCTCCAAATGCCCTCAACACTTGGGGCTGGGCCAGGCAGAAACCTGGAGCCCAGAACTTGATGTGGATCTTCCATCAGGGTGGCAGGGACTCAAGTCCTTAAGCCATCATCTGCTTCCAAAGTGCACATTAGCAAGAAGCTGGCATGGACAGAACTGGAACTCCAACCCAGACAGTCTGATATTGGATGCTCTGTCTTAACCTACTCTGACCCCGATTATATAAACTTTTCCTGTCAGTGTTCCTATCTATCAAATGGCAAAATAAGTAGCCATCTTTTAAGGTTACTGTAAGGTTGCGTGTGAACTGCATTGCCAAATCCCTACTAATCATTCCATAATTAGTTAATCATCATTAATTTGCTCGAAATATTTCCGCCTTCCAGACGCTGAGTTATGTGAAGGTGGTTTGGTAAACTTGCAGCTAAATTGGATCTCCTTTATCAACTGAAAAAGGAAATCCAAATCCCATACAGTGAACTGGAACCAGTATCTCAATGCCAAGGGTGTTTTGCGTTCAGTGAAGTCCAACAAATGGCAGCAGTAGTCTTTCGGGGAAATGTGCTTGATGTCCCCCTCAACGACTGTGTTCTACTGAATCCCTGGGATTTAAAAGCCAGTTAACATGGTACCAGTTGCCTCTGTCCCCATATTATTTGGCTCTTCCTACCCATTTTGGACAACTAATTAGAATAAGTTGTCTTTGGGCCAGCGATACATGCGAATCGCTTCTACGGCTCACTGCACTTAAAATTTGCAGGTATTATTTAGGGATTAAAAAAAAAAACTTTTTTGGGCAATGGGACTCGAACTTGAGAACTGTGGCTCTCCCTCCATTTCCCGCCTCAGCGGCAGGGAGGAACGCGCCGGCCGGATTGACCAGGGAACAACGCCGCGGGCGAGTGCGCCTACGAGGTGCGCGCGCCGAATAGGGGGCGGGGCCGGGCGCGCGCCGAACCGAGCCCGGCGCGGGTGGGGGCGAGCTCTCTCGCGAGAGTGGGTTTGTTCTTGGGCTGCAGCCGCCACCACCACCTCTTGCCAGCGCCGTTGCTGCGGGGGATTGTGGGAGCCTCTGCGTCCCGCTCTCTGGGAGAGAGGTAGCTCTCCTTTTCCCTCTCCCTTTCCCTGAGGTAGGCGTGAAGCGGGTAAGAGTCGGGGTGGGGTGGCCGGGGGCTGTCCGCGTCCGCCGGGAGGGGGCAGCGACGGCGAGAGGGGCCGCGGGGAGCCGGCGGCGCGCCTTTCTTGCTCGCTCCCGCTCGCCTGCTCTGCCTCCCTCCGCGCTGCGTATGTGAGCCGCCTGATCGGCGGCCGCCATGTTAGGAGCGCAGTGGCGGCGCAGGCAGTCTCCTCGGGCGGCGGAGGTGAGCGGCCCCGGAGGGAGGCACCGAGTCAGTCAAGGGCCCGGGGTGCAGCCGGAGAGTCCAGGGGTGCCGAGAGCCGCTCGTCTGCCGAGCTTCCCGCGTCCCAGGCTCGCTGTGGGCGGGGGCGGGACGACGAGCCCGTTACACGCGGGCCGTGTCGCTGAGGGGGAGGGAGGAGCGCTCGAGGCCTGAGGGACCGACTGCCCATTGGGGGCCTGGCGTTTGGGGAGAAGAGTCAGGATAGGGAAGTCTTGGGTAGTGCCGGCCCCGAGGAACGCGTGTGCCTTCTCACTAAGGGAAATGTGCCCCAAAATGGAGGATTTCGCAGGCTGGGAGAAGCTTAGCTGTAGCTGTTTGTGTAACGTTTCTTTGCTTGCTGGTGTCGCGGCCCTCACGCCCTCCTCTCGCATCGCTTCGTGGCGCCCCCTCGCCGCCCCGTTCCCCGCCCACACGCGCGCGCTATTTTGGCCGGACATCTGGAACAATTCCTCCCCACCCCCCATCGCGTAAAAATGGCCGAAAAATGAAACGTTAACGCTTGTTTTCCGTATTGCGTTGGGGATTAAGCTTTTTGCGGTACAGGACGAGGCAGGAGATTTGGTCTTGTTAAGTCGGTCGCCTTACATTCTTTTTCTCTTTATCAAAATAATGTATTAGTCCAGGTTCCTCTAGAGAGGATCCTGTGATGTGGGACCTTCCGGTTTCCAGACAAAGGGTTTGGAGTCCCACGGTGTAGTCGAGGCATCGTTGTTCTTTTCACAGCCAGCGCTGTGCTGTGTTCTGTGCTCCACATTGACCGTGGATGAATATTCCCTAGGTGTTTATCCCGCGTTTGGCCCTGTTCTGTGGAATATTCCTATTGGATCAGTTACAGTTACTCAGCCAGACCTTTCTAGAACGGTTGTACTGGTTCTGAAATTTCTGGTCTTTCTAGCGCGTTGGATTAACCTCAGAGTCGTTGATTTCGCAGATGGTCATGAGATTTTCTATTGCGTTGTGTTAAAGCTTGGTTTAAGAATAGTTGGTAAAATACGTTTTTCTCCCAGGAAAAGTAGCACAGTTGACTATGCGGGCAAAGATTATACTTCAGGCTATTTTCGTTAATGTTCGTTAATGTTAAGAGAAAAATGTATCTTTTAAAAACTGTTTTAGTAATGGCTCATTGATTTACATTTTGCACTTTGCTAATGTTTTTGAAATCAAGAAGAGCTGGGGAGGTTGATTTTGGTTGTGAAAACGCTCTGAATGATACCTTTTACTCCTGGGTGGAATGTTTTTACAAACTCCAAATTAAACACCACCTTGAAGTACTATATGAAGATTATTCTGGTTGGTTATGTAAGATTTGAAAAAATTTAGCCAGATGTTTGTGTTGAAGTTCTTAAAATTTACATTAACTCCATGGCAATTAACATTATAGCTCAGTTTTTGCTTTCATTTTATCTTTAGATATCTCCCTTTTTTGCCTGTGTCCAGCGTTTATGTAGCATTTGAACTAATTTGAAAGGATTAAACCACTCCATATCTGAGCTTCTATGTTGAAGGGAGTCTGTCTGCTAATTCTCCCAGGGAAATATAAATGTGAAGTAATAGTACAAGTCATTTAATTAGAATACTCAACAATTTAACTGGAAAACCTGTTATGTTCAAATGCCTAATTTTGTAGAAGGGAAGTTTGAGCCCAGAGAAATGGTGGCTGTGTAGTGGTTATACAACTGACATGCTGCCAGTGTTGATTCCAACCTTGATTCAGACTCCATGGTATAAGCCTTCATAAATAGGTTTAAATGGAAATAATATTCTTAGAGGACGAAGATGTGTGCCTAAATGTTAATACTTGTTATTAAATGTGATAAAAATCTGAAGATTCAACTTATGGGAATCTACTAATTTTATTGTAAGAGAAATTGCTACTTAATGTTTTAGGAGGATAATAATGGGAAGATGATTATGGTATACGGACGGTATTGACTGGAAGGGAAAATATAACAAAGCTAAGATGCTGTCAAATTTGATTGTTTTGACTTTTAAAGGAATGTATAAGATAAAAGTAGAGACACACCAAGAACTTTTACTTCTAGATGTCAGTGTTATGGATTATTTGTATTTCCTTCCTGATATTTTACTGATGATTACAGAAGAAATTACATTTACTATTCTAATTTAAAAAAAATGGTAGAACTACTTAAAATTAGAATCTCTTGCTTATTTTTTAGAATTGCATATATTTTTAAAAAGAGTTGGAATAGAGGTGGACCAGCTTATTGAGGTTTGGAGAGCAGAATATACAGGAATGACAAAAATAGCACTTGAGTAAGATATTCAAGAATTGGATAATGGTTTGTTAGATGGTTCTTAGCACAACTTTTAGTATTTTGTTATTTTTTGTTTTCATAATCCACCTTGAGTTAAAATTACTGTGAAACTATCGTGCCCTTCTGCCCACACGTTCTTGTTTAATTTTTTTTTTTTAAGATTTATTTATTTAGAAAAGCAGAGTTATAGAGAGTTAGAGGCTGAGAGGGAAAGAGAATCTTCCATCTACTGGTTCACTCCCCAAGTGACTGCAACAACCAGAGCTGGGCGATCTGAAGCCAGGAGCTTCTTCCAGGTCTCCCATGCAGGTGCAGGGACCCAGGCACCTAGGCCATTTTCTGCTTTCCCAGGCCATGGCAGAGAGCTGCATCAGAAGTGGAGCAGCCGGTACTCCAATGGTGCCCACATGGGATGCCGGCACTACATGAGACAGTTTTACCCGCCATGCCACAAGACCACCCCCCCATCCACAGGTTCTAAAAGTGAATGACTAATGACATTTGGGATGGACAGTACAAGCAAGATTCATCGAGTGGGTGGAGGGGTTGCAGGATGGAGTGTAGTGTAGTAAAGTGCTATAATTTTTAAGATTTATATATTTGAAAGTTAATGTTAAACAGAGAGAGGAGAGGCAGATAGGTCATCCATCCACTGATTGACTCCCCAATTGGCCACTGTGGCCAGAGCTGTGCTGGTCTGAAGCCAGGAGCTTCTTCTGGGTCTCCCACGCACGTAGTTGGAAGGACCCCAGGATTTGGGCCATCATCTTCTAGTGCTTTCCCAAGCCAGAGCAGAGAGCTGGATTGGAAGTGGAGCAACCAGGACTCAAACCAGCGCTCATGTGGGATGCTGGCACTGCAGGTGGTGGCTTTACCCACTATACAACAGCGCCAGCCCTTATAGTTCTTAACTATAGTGAGCCTTTCTCATTAGATGACTAGAATCACCAACTTTAAAATTCTTGATTAAAAACCTTTACCTGTGGCAAAGGTCACTGGATAACAATAGCTTTAAAGGATTTTTACATGTGATTTCAAAAATTGGGTGCAACTTTAGTTTTTTGCTTAGTCACTGCTGTTAGATGGCTTGCTATCTCTACTGACTTGGATATTTATACTGGCAGGGCTGTATGGATGGATTGCTGAGTGTCTTTGATGCAATGTGGCTGTGGTACCATTATCCAGTTCTCTATGTAGATAGAATTCAAGGCTCTTTGAAAATAAATGCAGTTTACATGAAGTAGTAATGGGAATTTAACATTTAAGACATTTTTTTAAGCTATTCCAAAATTTAAAAGGTAGTTGGTATAAAACAGTTGTCTTTGTTTTCTGAAAATAAAAAATGCTGTATTTGGCCTTTTCATTGATCTAGTATCTCAGTGACCTGTGGTTATTTCTCTTAGGCAGAAGAGGTTAATAGGAAAACAGGGTGTTCATTGAGAGGTGGGAGAAGTAGTGCTTACCAGCGAGTGTAGAGAAAACATAAAAATGCCTGTTGTAGGTGTCCTGGGCTGGCAGTAAATGCAGCAAATATGGAATATAATTAATACTGTGGTCCAAATAGCCTCTTTGATTTCCAGGATTATCTGTTGCTTTCAATTCATAGACGAATAATTTTTAAAAATTTTCTAGATGGTTTCTGAGCTTATTTTTCTCCTTTATGGGGATTATTAAGATATTAAACACCTTCTTTTGATATAGTGAGTCACAGAATAGGAACCTGAGCCATATGTAGGAACTTAGATTATTTGGGCAGCTAACTCATGAAGTAGTTGGGAAGAATGATCAAAGAAATACAAGCATTTGTGCATAAAATATTTCTGAGAAGATGTTATTTAGATGACTTTTTAAAATTTATTACTTGAAAGGCAAAGCAACAAGAAAAGGTGGGGGGAGAAGTTCCATTTGTTGGTTCACTCCCCAAATGGCCGCAACAGCCAGGGCTATGTCAGAGCTGGAACTGGCTGATCTAACAAGTGAGTAGCAGGGTCCCAATTAAGCCATCTCGTGCTGCCTTCTCATGTGTGTTAGCAAGAAGCTGGATCAGAAACAGGTTAACTAGGACATGAACTAGCACTTCAATAAATTCTGTTTTCCTGTGAGGAGAAAAGATCGCCCATCTGCTGCCTGAGTTCATGCAACAGCTAGGGCTGGGATAGGCCAAAACTAGGAGCCTGGAACTCATTCTTGGACTCCTAAGTGGGTGGCAGGGACTTGAGCCATCATCTGTGGCCTCACCAGGGTGTGCATTAGTAAGAATCAGGACCAGAGCTGGGGCCCAAACCCAGGCATTCAGGATGAGATGGAGTATGGATGTCTCAAGCAAGGTCTTATCTGTTGTGCCATATGCCCACTCCAGCAAACAATTGTGGGTTTTTTGTTTGTTGAAGATTTGTTAATTTGAAAGTGGAGAATTAGGGGGAGAGAGAGAAATCTTCCATCTGCTGGCTCACACCCCAGATGGCCACAATGGCCAGAGCTGAACCAAGCTGAAACCAGGAACTTCTTCCAGGTCTCCCTTCTGGTGGCAGGGGCCCAAACACTTGGTACATCTTCAGCTGCTTTTCCCAGGCCATTAGCAGGGAACTGGATCAGAAATGGAGCAGCTGGGACACAAACTGGCACCGATAAGGGATTCTGGCATTACAGGTGGTGCCTTTACTCACTAAACCACAGTGCTGGCCCATAGCAGACCAGTTTTAATACTTGGATCTGTATGTGTGGACTGTAGTGTTCTGGAATAGCACCACAGAGAAGTAAAATTTGTGCTTAAGCACTCGGAGACAGAGAGATGCAAGATTTGTTTATTTTAAAGATTTATTTACTGTGGTGTAGCAGGTAAAGCCGCTGCCTGCAGTGCCAACATCCTATGTGGGCACGGGTTCGAGTCCTGGCTGTTCCACTTCCGATCCAACTCTCTGCTATGGCCTGGGAAAGCACTATAAGATGATGGCCCAAGTCCTTGGGTCCTTGCAACTACGTGTGTGGGAGACCCAGAAGAAGCTCCTGGCTTCAGATCGCTGCAGCCCTGGCCATTGTGGCCAATTGGGGAAGACCTCTGTTTGTCTCTCTCTGCCTCTCCTCCTCTCTCTGTGTAACTTTCAAATAAATAAATAAAATCTTTAAAAAGGATTTATTTCTCTATTTGAAAGGCAGAGTTAGAGATCTTCCATCTGCTGGTTCACTCCCCAAGTGGCCACAAAAGCCAGGGCTGTGCCAGGCCGAAGTTGGGAGTCAGGAGCCTCTCTGGGGTCTCCCATGTGGATGCAGAGGCCCAAGAACTTAGGTCATCTTCTGATACTTTCCCAGGCACATATTCAGGAACTGAAATTGGAAGTGGAGCAGCAAGAACCTTTATTGGTGCCTACTCCCCAGCACCAGCCCTTGTTTGTTTATTTCAAAGACAGTTAAGAGAGAAGGAGAAACAGATCTTCCATCTGCTGTTACATTCCCCCAAGTGGCTACTTTGGTCAGGCTAAAGCCAAGATCTTCATCCAGGTCTAGGTTTCCCACTTGGTTGCAGGGGCCCAAACACTTGTGCCATCTTTCACTGCTATCCCAGGCACAGTATCAGAAGTGGAGCAGCCTGCACTTGAACCAGTGCTGACATGGGACGTTGGTGTTGCAAGTGGCTTAACCCGCTGCTTTACCTTGTTGACCCCAGAAATAGCTTTGATGTCAATCATCTGCAGAACAGATAAGTGTATGTATAATGGTATCACAGTGAAAAGGTAGGCTTAAGTCCTGTATATGTGTGGTTGAGTTGGTTTTTGAAAACAAATACTGTCAATTCCTGCAAAATTTATTAATGAAACTTTTCAAAGGTGTACAGTCAATTGTAAAACTTAAAAGCAAGGGACTGTAGAGGGTGTACATTGACAATTAGCTGGTAAGTTTTTGAGGTCTTTGCAAGTTTTCTGTTCTTATAATTGTGTGGTTGCATACATTGTTCGATGTATGATACAGTGCATGATTAAGGAGGATGCCCTGGACCTTAGTGTTATTTGAAGGAGAGCAGGAACACATTTCAGCTGATTTTATTTACACAAATACTATATATGGAATAACCGGTAGATCTTTCTATGATACGTTAGGTTGTGGTGGGACAGAGAAGTAGGATGGAACCAATATGTGAAAAGCAGTAAAAACTGTAATGCAGACTTCATGTGCTAAGGGGTAGGTTTTTGAACAGGATGGTGAACTGTGCGTATAGAAGCAAGGAAGCCAGCTGAAAAGTAGGACTAAGGATTTCCAGTACCCATTTAAAGACAGGTTGCAGTAGACAGTGAAGAAGGAAGATGTTTTATTGACTGGAATCCACTTCTTTAACTGTCAAAATTACTACCAGTCTTTAAATCTGGATTTTTTTTTTTTTTTAAGATTTTATTTATTTGAAAGACATAGTTACAGAGAGTTCCATTTACTGGTTCACTCCCCAAAGGCTACAACAGCCAGGGCTGGGCCAGGCCAAAGCCAGGAGCTTCATCCTGGTCTCCCAGAAAAGTGACATGGGCCATCCTCTGCTGCTTTCCCAGGTGCATTAGCAAGGAGCTGGATCAGAAGTGGAGCGGCTGGGACCTGTGCCCATATGGGTTGCTGGCTCTGTAGATGGCAGTTTAATCTACTATGCTATAGCACCTAACACTGTTTCCTAAAGCTGTCCTTGGGTCAGTCTTTTTTTTTTAACCTTTGGAGTATTCTGACCTAAAACAAAAAGTTTACTTTATTTCTCAGGTATTGCATCACATTATATAAGGTGATTACTACAGCACTTACTGTATGCCAGACACTGTTCTAAGTGTTTTATGTGGACTAACACATTAAATCTTTATAGCTTTATGAAATTGATATTTTTATTTCTGTTTTAACATATGAGAGGGAAAATGCAGATGTTAAGTAATTATTCAGAGTCACACAGCTATTCTGTAGTAGAACCAGGATTTACATGAAGGTAGTTCAGCTCCAGAAATCCAGTATATGTGAAATCAGTATTGTACAAATGCTTTTGGCCGGCGCCGCGGCTCACTAGGCTAATCCTCCGCCTGTGGCGCCGGCACCCCGGGTTCTAGTCCCGTTCAGGGCGCCAGATTCTGTCCCGATTGCTCCTCTTCCAGTCCAGCTCTCTGCTGTGGCCTGGGAAGGCAGTGGAGGATGGCCCAGGTGCTTGGGCCCTGCACCCGCATGGGAGACCAGGAGAAGCACCTGGCTCTTGGCTTTGGATCAGCGCGGTGCGCCAGCCGCAGTGGTCATTGGGGGATGAACCAATGGAAAAAGGAAGACCTTTCTCTCTGTCTCTCTCTCTCTCACTGTCCACTCTGCCTGTTAAAAAAAAAAAAAAAGAAAAGAAAAGAAAACTAGAACATTGAGTGACTGGAGGGAAAAGGATGCAAGATGGATCCTTGAAGGAAACCATTAATTTTGTTAAAGTAGAGAAAAGTAAAGCCAGATTTTATCAGATAATTGTGTAGGAAAAGTTTTTAAATTTAAGAAGAAATTAAATATTATTCCACGTTTAAATAGGAATTCCTTGTACTGATTAACATGAAGTTTTCTATCTTCTCAGCAGCTGAAGGCACTGTGCAACACTCTTGTCTATCCTTAGACTAAGGATCCTGAATTGGAATAGAAGTTGAATCCAGGTCTGTTAGATTTGAGTAGTATTAAAGCACTTTAAACAAATTAGTAATTGTTTTCCAGTATTTGTGGTACTACATTATACTGCTTTATACAAAACTGAAATTAATTAAGCTTTGATGTTCTTTATATCCTGTGGGGTTTACTACTTAAGTTACTTCCTAGATTGTTAAACTCGAAGATGTATGTCATACTGAGATGAGATAGCACCCAAGAACACAGAGTATAAAATTCTAAAGTGACTCAAACTCTTTAAAAAAAATTGCGCACTCTTCAGATAATACATTTAAGAAGTAAACCCTTAAATAATTGTTAAAGACCTTGAGAAAACATTTAATGATGTCAGCTGAATAACATTAAAATATATCTAAGTCATTAAAAATAAGTTGAATAAGAGTTAAAGAACCGTTAACTCTACAGTGTAGTTCAGTTGAAAAGGGTAAGGTGTTTGGTTTAAAAGTCCTGACCACTAGAATCACTATTTTTGTGATTGATGACAAAAGTCAAGCAGCTACCTTTCCAAATAATACTGCTTTGATAGTCAGCTCTCCAAGTCATCTATTATGGTGACATGGTTAGTGCCTTTTTACTTTATTGATGGATAGGGAGAAAATGCTAGAAGGCGATATAGTCTTACTGTTTATATATTTTTATGTAAGATTTTAGAAGGCTAAAATATCAAGAAGAGGTGTTTTCCTGATTACCTCATTTTGTGATTAAATTATTTAAAGTTAGTCGTTTTTGAGAAGTGATTATTTTACGCAGTTAATATAGCTCAAAGTTCCTATGACAGTAGTGAATACCTTTAAAAACAGCATTTTTAAGGCCGGCGCCGTGGCTCAATAAGCTAATCCTCTGCCTTGCGGCGCCGGCACCCCGGGTTGTAGTCCCATTCGGGCACCGGATTCTGTCCCGGTTGCCCCTCTTCCAGGCCAGCTCTCTGCTGTGGCCCGGGAAGGCAGTGGAGGAAGGCCCAAGTGCTTGGGCCCTGCACCCGCATGGGAGACCAGGAGAAGCACCTGGCTCCTGGCTTCGGATCAGCGCGATGCGCCAGCCACAGCGCGCTGGCCGCGGCGGCCATTGAAGGGTGAACCAACGGCAAAAGGAAGACCTTTCTCTCTGTCTCTCTCCTCATGGACAAACCTGCCGGCAAAAAAAAAAAAAAAAAAAAAAAGGGTTTGTATTTAAAATAAAAAAGGCAAGTTCTCAATTTTCTGTAAAAAACTAAAGTTGGTTTGTTCTCTTATTATTCCTGCTGAGTATATTAGCCCTTTGAAAGACTACTAAGACTAGTAAGTGTTTTACATAGGAAATCTAAATCTAGAGTAACCATTTGCTTCTATTTTCCATCAACTTCCAGGATAGGTCAGATTTTCACCGTTTTCTTAAATATTCCACTTTGTAGTTGGGAAGGAAAATCCAATAAAGAACATACTCATGGAGTGAGGGTAGAATATTGACTGAAGTATTTCTTAACCATTCTTGGGATAATGTTTGTTCCAATGATGAATGTGAAGCTTACATTTTTAAGTCAGTTTAAAATTTTATCGTGAGCCGGCGCCACGGCTCACTAGGCTAATCCTCCGCCTTGTGGCGCCGGCACACGGGGTTCTAGTCCCGGTCGGGGCGCCGGATTCTGTCCCGGTTGCCCCTCTTCCAGGCCAGCTCTCTGCTGTGGCCAGGGAGTGCAGTGGAGGATGGCCCAAGTCCTTGGGCCCTGCACCCCATGGGAGACCAGGATAAGTACCTGGCTCCTGCCTTCAGATCGGCGCGGTGCGCCAGCCGCAGCGGCCATTGGAGGATGAACCAACGGCAAAGGAAGACCTTTCTCTCTGTCTCTCTCTCTCACTGTCCACTTTGCCTGTCCAAAAAAAAAAAATATATCATGAAATAGATTTAAGTTATAAGCTAATTATTTGGAATTGTCAGTAGAGACAAGTTTTGTTAGAAATTTGATTATTGGGTTAAGTAAATGACAGTTAAAAAGTGAAATTATGGATAATGTTGTTAATGTTTCCTGGTTTGAGGTAGATTATCTTTTGGAAGTAAAAGGTTTTACACTGATTAGAATCCGTTATATAGTGATCTTAAATGGGTAAATTGAGTTTTGACATAACCTAAGCAGTATCATTTTCACTATCTTACTAACTTTACTAGTAGGCAGCAGGTCCTCTGTGAATGAGCCCTTAAAAATGGTTTATACATCTTACGGTTAACGTTGTCCCAAAGATACTAAAGGAATTGTTTCCATAAATGCTTTCTAAACAGTGCTGTCATGTCTGGTTTCTTTCATTTTCTTTCTTCTAATAGAAATATTTTTAAGAGTTTGGTTTGCCTGCTTTAATTAAAAATCTGACTTTCATTAATATTACTCTAATGTCTTTGTATGACACTATTTTAAGAGTATCATAAAAACTTTAATATTATTGTTCTCATGGAATTACATTGTGTTGAGATTTACATTGTTCTACACCTTTTCTGAGTTTTTCTGACATCCATTTTATGTTTTGTCTTAAGATCATCATCTTTTGCCTTCTCTTAACTTTTCCTTTTGCAGATCCACTGTTTTCAGACAAGGTATCAAAAAATTGAGATCTCTGACAACCAAGTATCATTAAAATATGGTTATTTAAAATTTTTGAACGTAATACATTTTGATTTTATGAGGGAGAAGAGTAGTTATTTGAAAAGGCTATCTTTTCACTAAATTAAAAGATTTGGCTGCAAACATCAAGGTCAGAGCTAACAATTATCAATAACCTTGATACTTAAAATTTTCAATTCTGAAAAACCCTCTAAAGGCTTTGAATTATTTTTAAAAATAAACACATGAAAATTTAGAGGGTCATATCAGTGTTAGTATTTGTACCACTGTTCTATATAACGTTTATAAGACAAAAAACTTTCATCCAATGAAGCCCATTTAACTCTTGTCTTTAGTTCAGTGATCTTAAAGCTTAAGTAATTGGCTAGTGGATCTCATGTAGAATTAGTTTCTTTTGGTGTCTTCTCAAATTCATCTTTCTTGGTTGTGCAAAAACATCTTCTGTAACTCTCCAGCCACCTCTAGTAGCATTTCTATGTCTTTTTAACATCTGTTTTTTAAAAATCTAGTCTAAATCTTCCTTGCCTGTAACTTTTTTCCTCTGCCACTGTATCCGTCCAATGTATCTTTGCTTTAATTTGTAGTTAGTAGGAATGGTCCCACAGTAGACTGGTAACTTTTGAATATTGCTGTTTTTTAGTGTAATAAAAGTTTAACATAGGTGTATGAATGATCAGATATATAAAACTTAACTAAGCAATGCCACAATAGAATGCTGTAGCATGCAACTTCAACTTTGCCTCTGTGGTTGTAATTATAAAACTGTTTTACCTAGGACATTTGTTATGTATGTGTTTTAACTAAATATTTTGTGGGAATCCTATGTAAGTGTTCTGTAAAACTCTTACGTAAGTTTGTGGGGTACAATGACAACGATTTAAGAAAGAAAATGAAAATAATGTCATCCAGATATATCTTGAGGGATTGAAATTAGATATACCATTTTTTAGGTGATTGTTAATCTTAAGAAAAGCTTACAGGAGTCTGTTTAAAATCTCAATTTTACTTGAACCTGTTTTGGCTTTAGAGGTGCTTTAGCCCTGAGTGTTAAATGAATACTGATGGAAGCTGACGGGAGATTTCCCTTCTTTAAATCACCTATATTTCCTGTATCTGGATTTTTTTTCCTTAGATGGTCTCCTATTTCTGTACTGACCAGAGTTAGTGGTCCTTAACCTTATAAAATTAGATTTTAAATAAGCACTGCCTGATGTAGGATGGTGGTCAGTCAAAAAGGCGGTTAGTTATTACGTTAGCAGAAATCCTTAAAACTATAGATAATGACTTGTTTTTCTTACTTACATCTGTCTTCACCTCAAATTGGTTTTGCTGCATGAAGGTCTCAACTATTATGTTTGGTCTTAGATCTTACACTAGGTACTTTACACCTAAGCTTCATTTACTTGTGATTTTACTTGGTTCTTTCTGATAGTGGTAAAAGATCTTATTTTCCAAAGCTGATTCATCTTTTGACTTGCTGTCGTTGATTTTTTGTTTTTGTTTTTGTTTTTAGTCTTCTCCTGGAACTTAAGCATCATACCATAGGGTGTATTTTTATTCTTCCAAAAGAAGAAACCCATCTTAAGTTTTTACTGAAGTTTTGATGTGCTCAGACATCTAACCCTTCAATTTAAATGTTTTTAAACTCAGTATGAAATTCCCTTTAGTAGTTAAACTTCAGTGTGAAACATTACTTTTTAAGTATCTATATGCAGGCTCTGCATACATCTGAAATCTGTTTAAGATATGTAATAAATTCCTTGTAAGTTTGAGATCTTAATTGTTTTTTTTTTAATCAACATGATGCATAAGTTTTTTTTTTTTTCTTAAAAAACGGCATCCACTTAAAGGGATTTATGACTAAAATTGCTTATTTTTCTACAGAGTTGTCTGCTGGTTCTCAGCTTGAAGAAGATTCTACAGTCCTTATTGATCCTTTTTCTTGGCGTTACCATTTTTTGAAGCAAAGTTAACCTAGCTTTCTAGCTTGAGCTTTCTTTTTGGCCGTCTTAAAAAAATTTTTTTTAATCTATAAAGTAGACAAGAGATAGTTCTACAATGTCCAAGTCATTCCAGCAGTCATCTCTCGGTAGGGACTCACAGGGTCATGGGCGTGACCTGTCTGCAGCAGGAATAGGCCTTCTTGCTGCTGCTACCCAGTCTTTAAGTATGCCAGCATCTCTTGGAAGGATGAACCAGGGTACTGCACGCCTTGCTAGTTTAATGAATCTTGGAATGAGTTCTTCATTGAATCAACAAGGAGCTCATAGTGCACTGTCTTCTGCTAGTACTTCTTCCCATAATTTGCAGTCTATATTTAACATTGGAAGTAGAGGTCCACTCCCTTTGTCTTCTCAACACCGTGGAGATGCAGACCAGGCCAGTAACATTTTGGCCAGCTTTGGTCTGTCTGCTAGAGACTTAGATGAACTGAGTCGTTATCCAGAGGACAAGATTACTCCTGAGAATTTGCCCCAGATCCTTCTACAGCTTAAAAGGAGGAGAACTGAAGAAGGCCCTACATTGAGTTATGGTAGAGATGGCAGATCTGCTACACGGGAGCCACCATACAGAGTACCTAGGGATGATTGGGAAGAAAAAAGGCACTTTAGAAGAGATAGTTTTGATGATCGTGGTCCTAGTCTCAACCCAGTGCTTGATTATGACCATGGAAGTCGTTCTCAAGAATCTGGTTATTATGACAGAATGGATTATGAAGATGACAGATTAAGAGATGGAGAAAGGTGTAGGGATGATTCTTTTTTTGGTGAGACCTCGCATAACTATCATAAATTTGACAGTGAGTATGAGAGAATGGGACGTGGTCCTGGTCCCTTACAAGAGAGATCTCTCTTTGAGAAAAAGAGGGGCGCTCCTCCAAGTAGCAATATTGAAGACTTCCATGGACTCTTACCGAAGGGTTATCCCCATCTGTGCTCTATATGTGATTTGCCAGTTCATTCTAATAAGGTGAGTTGATGCAACAGATACTTCTAATTTCTTTTACATTGTAGTGCCAATTCTGTATTTGCCTATATCCTTTACTCTAATTCTGTAGTCTGATGACACTGAGTGATCAAGAATTTTTATACTTTTGAGAACACTTTATTTGGAAGTAACTGTTTTTGAGCATTTTAAACCAGGGCTTTACATTAATACAATCTGCCTAGATTACTTCTGGCCACAAAGCTGTCATCACTGGGATTATCTTGCTGGTTTTTGGCATCAGTATGTTCTTCTTAATCATATATTTAAGCAGGTTTATTTATTTTTTTGTCTGCTACTTGTTGAATCGTTTTAAATATTTTTTTGCAGTCAATGTGCTCTGCCATCCAGGATGCTAGATTTCAGCTCTCCATCTGTCTTGGTTGCTGATTTGTATGTAGTAAAGATGTATTCTTGAACAATTCTCTTTTTTTCTTTATCTGTGGCTACAGGGAAAGAGTTAATGTAGAGCCCTGGTGTTTGTTTCAGTATGTTTCATATTTTAGATTAGTTCATTCTTCCTTTTTTAATTTCCCTTTAACACAAACTCTCATACTGTGACTGAAATTTTTCATCATTTTTTTTCTCCTTTTCCACAACTTCCTTAAACATACTTCAAAACTCACTTTTTATTATCCCATATTGCATCCTATCCCTTTAGAGACTTGAACAAATCAACTACTACAGTATCCTGCTCTGTGTTCGTCATAAGCAAATTCTTTTCTGACTTAGGTTTAGACTTCTGGTATAGTCATTTAAAAAAAAAATCTAGTTCTCCTTTGCTTTAATTATCACATCTACCAAGATGGGAACTTTTTCAAAATGCCCTTTAAAATACATTGTCCTTTCTCTTTCAACTTATTCAATGTTACTCATTCTCACTTTTTTTTTTTTCCAAATATATAGTGCAGTTGACTTTAAGTCAACATTATACCCCATTAGCTAGATCTATAAACTGTGAACATCCATTTTTTCTGATGAGCTGTATTAGTTATTCTACTTAACTAGAACAAGTTGCTGCCATTAAATTGATGGTTACTGTTACAGGGTTTTTCTTTACAGTAACTTCTGAAAGGATCATTTTCTTTTCATAGCTATTCCTTTGAAATGCATTTTTAGTGAGTATTGATTTTTTAGTAGACTAAATTATTACAGATTACGTTTTTAATATTCCACTAAAGAGGGTTATCAGTCACTACTTTTCCTGTTTGGACCTCAATATTTTTTCCTTTTAGCCTTTAAATTATACCAAAATTGATTAATATGCTAAATTTAGTTACTTATTTTCATTTGCGAAGTAGAACCCCATACTCATAAAGTCAGCAAATTTTATTTGGTAAGTGTTTTTGGTGTTACCTTTTTGCATATTTCTTGGCTATGCTTAATATGGCATGAAATTTATTTTAGTTTTTGTTCAGTACCAATTTCAAGTTTTAGGTCTGGTATGAACTAACAATGAAAACATTCATTAAATTTCAGTGACTCCAGTTTCTCTTATTTCTTGCCTATTTATAAAGAAACAATAGAAGTGGCAGTCTGAACAGTCTTCTTGGAATCTAAATTCCAAGAAAAATACTTAACATGACTAAAGTTTGTTACTGAAGTCATAAAAAGAACACAGAAAGGAACCAGGAAGAGATTTATCAGAGAAGGTTGTTTTTATGTATGATTTTTATTTTCTTTCCAAATTTTGCTAGTTTCTCAAGAAGGCTAATAAGTTAAAGGAATGTAAATTAACCAAAGCGTTTTAAAATATTTGATGGAATAAGATTCTAGAGTAACACACCTTACCCTAGTTTAAGAGATGCTTTTAGCTGGTAAAAATATTAGTTCCTAGCTAGTTTTGGAAGTATGTCAAAATACTGAGTACATTTAAGAACTATTTAAGAGGCCTTTGTAAGTTGGCCCAATTGTAAGAAGTTTAAATAATGGGTTCTCTTAATTTTAGTTGCCTTGATATACCTGATGTTTGTCTGTATCTGCATTATTGAAAAGTATTCATTTTAGCATTAAACCCCTCTCATTTTATAACTAATATAGAAATTACTTCAGACAAAATTCTTGTGTTGGAAGTAGATAATGAAAAATTTTTGAACATTTAATCCTGCTCTCTGGTACTGCTGCATAACTTGGAAAATCTGTTCTTTTCACTTAGTGGTAATGTTAAGTAGGCTACATGATCAGAAGTTCCTCTTACTATGAAATAAAATGAAAAACATGATCTAATTTGTCATCATGAAATGCCATTTAATTTTGATATTTTTAGGTGACTTGGTATTGCTTTTATCTCTCTCTTGGTCATGTTAGATTGTCACATTACTTTTCTACACAATCTCAAACTTCCCTCAAGTTCCTTCTACTTAAAAGAAAATTGCCCACTACAGCCCTTTTGCTGTCTTGTCACTTGAGTTCATATTTTTCCTTTTAGAGTTTCTAGAAGCCCTTAAATTATTCTTTATTCTACCATTCTGGAAGTATTTCCCAAATTATTCTCTGTTTATGTAACATCTCAAAGACATCAAGGTGAATGTAGTTTTCCTACAGAAACTTCTGAATTCAAAAGAGAGTCCTTATTCTTTATCAGTCTCATGTAATGAGTTGCCTCAGTGTAAAAATCCCAGGATAATAGGGTTTTGTTTTTAATCTTTGACTGTTATTCCTCACCTTAAACCAAACCAAGCAGTAAGAGATCAGGTATTGTGGTACATATTAGTAATGGTCGGTTTGGGAGGTACACAACTGATTTCCTCTTCTTGGCCTTCTTTCCAGCACTTGGGAAAACCAGCCACACTTTTACTATAAGTTTGAACCTTTAAAGAACATGGGGGATTGGAAATAGTTCTATTTAGCTACATACCCTTTCAATCTCCTGTGAATTAGGAGCATCCCTAATAGTTAATATGTATTCTCGACCTAAAATATTACTTCTTAAGGCTATTTTTAATAAAATCTGAAAATTTTTAGTTCAGAAACTTTCGAAGTCAGTATGTTTAATTCCTCTTTTAGATTTTGTGAACTTTACCCATGGTGACTCTTGCTTATGGCTGTTTTTAAAATGGCCTCCAACAAGTCAAATATGGTTGCTTTACAAATAGAAAGTTGGTGGGCCGGCGCCGCGGCTCACTAGGCTAATCCTCCGCCTAGCGGCGCCGGCACACCGGGTTCTAGTCCCGGTCGGGGCGCCGGATTCTGTCCCGGTTGCCCCTCTTCCAGGCCAGCCCTCTGCTGTGGCCAGGGAGTGCAGTGGAGGATGGCCCAGGTGCTTGGGCCCTGCACCCCATGGGAGACCAGGAAAAGCACCTGGCTCCTGGCTCCTGCCATCGGATCAGCGCGGTGCGCCGGCCGCAGCCCGCCGGCCGCGGCGGCCATCGGAGGGTGAACCAACGGCAAAAGGAAGACCTTTCTCTCTGTCTGTCTCTCTCACTGTCCACTCTGCCTGTCAAAAAAAAAAAAAAAAAAGGATAAAAAAAAAAAAAAAGTTGGTGTGTGTTTCCAAATATCTAATTTTAGAGCCAGCCGGGGAGATCTATTTGAATTCCTTTTAGCCATTACTTTTAGAAGATAATCTTATCTTTGAGATACATGGGAATAGTAATTGAAAGCTCCCCAAGTTGTAAGGAAGTACCATTTTGTTTGGCTATATTCCATATAGTTGTGTGGTTTTTTTCCACAGAGCTTTAGTTAATTTTAATAGGGCATAGGAGTATATGGAGACTGCTGTAATACAAATTATTTTTTGAAAAATCAAGATAGTATTTATAAAATACCATTCTGAAGGTTTTCAGAAAGGTTTATCTTATAATTTGGTATCCTGTTGTAGTTTAGTTTTGAGACCAACCCTCTCCCCTTAAAAAAAATACATTGCCTGACCTTTTTTTAAATGTATATATTTATTTATTTGAGAGAGACAGAATACTCATCCACTGGTTCACTCAGATATCTACAACAGCCAGAGAGGGACCAAGCCAAAGCCACAAAACTGGGAACTCAAACTGCATCTCCCACATGAGTAACTGAAACCCAGCTACTTGAGACATCACCTCTGCCTACATTAGCAGGAAGCTGGAACCAGGAGCAAGAGCTGGGAATCTAGCCCCAGACACTCTGGTATGGGATACAGGCATCCCAAGTGGCATCTTAACTGTTTGGTCAGATGCTCACCTGTCCAGTCATATTTTATATCCCAATAATTATAATGGTATTACAGGTAGTATAGGTATTACAGATACTGGCTCAGTTTTTGAAAAATCAGTAGTGATTGTAAAGCAGAAATTGTTGGTTTTTTTTTTTTCCCTTGAACACTTTCCACGTGCCTGACAATGTTCTGAGAAGCAGTTTGCCTTTATTAACTTACTTGATTTTCCACAACAATTCTCTGAGAATATTGTCACAGTGAACATAGAATCTTTACAAACCAAAGATTCATATCTAGTATTTGCAATTTGAGGATGGAACCTAGACATTCTGGTAGCAGAGCTTGCTTTTCCTAACTACTTATATTGGCTATATTTGAAAATTTGTTCCTAAAGAAAGGAAAATATTTAAGTGAAGTAAGAAAATTCCTTCAGACTAAAACCACAAGGAAGCAAATATTGGTAGAATGTAGTATTTACCTCCTTAACATTTGGAAACAGACATTCCTTAGTGTTTGCTTCTCTATATTGGGAAAATATAATAGAGACTCTAAGTTTTTGATAAATGGGTAGCATTTTTTTAGACAAACCATTCCTGTTTTCATTCATTTTTTCTTTTTAAAGGTTTTGTTTATTGATTTATTTGAAAGATACAGTTACAGAAAGAGGTGGGGAAGAGAGAGAGAGTGCTGGTTCACTTCATAAATGACTGCAACGGCCAAGGCTGAGCTAATTCGAAGCCAGGAGCTTCAACCAGGTCTCCCGCATGGATGGCAGAATCCCAAACACTTAGCCACTTTGTGCTGCTTTCCCAGGCACATTAGCAGGGAGCTGAATTGAAAGTGGAGCAGCCATAACAGGAACTAGTGCACAGTTATGGCGTGCTGACCTCAGAGGCAGTGGCTTTACCTGCTGTGCCTCAGTGCTCTTGGGCGACCCCCTTCCCCTCCCAACACCCCAACACATTAGCATTTTTTGGTAATCCTAATATTTTTTACTACATATTTAGTAAGTAGTATACTTGGAACACTCCTCAAAGGATGAATGAAGGATTCTAATTTTATCTGATTACTCACATGTATAGCATTCATTTTCTAGGAAAGCAGTATAAACATTTTTATGATTTAGAGTGATACAAATACACAGTGAATGCTTCAGTTTGGTCAACCACAGAAATTAACATGCCTGACTGAACTCAAGGTCAGTTACTTCTCTTGACCTTTGTTAACTCTGTCATCTTTTCCCTGTTAGGTCTCTAATTATGTTGACCAAATTAACCAGTTTTTCCAAGAATGTGCATAGCGTATTTGAGGGCAGGATCAAGCTTCAAGAACTCAGATATGGTCTTAAATTAAATCAGTTTGATTTGATGAATGAGCAAGTGTATGTACATCCTATGATAGTGCACAGACAGTAACGTCCTATAGTTTGAATGGTTCAGATGAAAATATTTTAGCTTTATTTTTGTTAATTCTACTAATTTACTTTGCTGCAGGAGTGGAGTCAACATATCAATGGAGCAAGTCACAGTCGTCGATGCCAGCTTCTTCTTGAAATGTAGGAGTTTGAAATACCTTTAAAGCATCCTTGTCGTGAATCAGAAACAGCCATTTGGTTTTTGGGAGTTCATCATTGACTTGTAATATCCACAGTGCTATTGTCACATAGTTGATAATGTCTAGGCAATACAAATTACAATTGTTTAGATCTGGAATCCTACATTGAGTCTTAGATGCAGTGATAGTGATGCTTTGTTGTTTAATATTATTCTAAGAGTCATATTGGCCCTTTTGATACGAACTGAAATTTTAATAGACTTAATGAAGGCATTTGGAAAGATTCATTGATGGTGCTCTTAATAGCAAATTTGGGTATAAAAATGTAGAAGATTGGTGGGTGGTCATTCATAGTTATTAATTAGTTATCAAGCAAAAATCCTTTATGATCTGTGTTGGGTTTGTTTTATTTGTTTTTGTTTTTTGTTTTTGCTTTTGAGATAACTGGTTCTAAGTTAGACTGCTACAATGTAATGGAATTCCTAAAGAAACAGCCTGTTTAAGTAGCACATAAAGTCCATTGTCATTAGAATTGTAGTTTTCACATATGCTTAGCTCTCTTGGGGCTTTTCCTGTCTTTCTAGTGCCACATTCCAACTCTGCTCTTGGTATTTAATATAGGAGAAGAAAAACCTGTAGTCTGATCTTGTTTCTCTATGCAATCTACATTTCTAATTCCTTGTACAGCATTTTTCTTCCTTGTCATTTAACAAATATAGGAAAATTTTAATTTCAACCTACATTTACAAACAATGTAGAATAAGTTCATTCTCATTCATTTGAATTATTTTGAAGTTCTGCAATTATTCTTTTGAAATACCTATATTACATATTTTAAAGCTGATATGTCTAACACCTAGACTCTCAGATAACTTTACTAATAAATGCTCTCTATTTTAGAGGTCAAACAAGGCTACTTTATGAGAGGGAAAGTTTTATTTTAAAGTTAATTTTCTGGTCTTTTTAAAGCTATCCAGAATGGAATCCTGACAATGATACAGGACACACAATGTAAGTTGAAAAATTTTTAAGCTTTTGTTTGTAAAGGAGTTCAATGTAAGGAGTTTGTTTAGCTTTCAACATTTCATAAACAAGTATTTCCAGAGTTTTGTTTACTGATTGTGATTGTGAGCGTTGATCAAAAGTCATAGTGAAAGAATTTTTAGGAAATTCTGTTGCTTTTATTTTAACTGTTATTACAGGACTTTTCCACCCCCCACTCCCTCCAGTTACTTCACATACAAATTCTCTCAAATGTTGAACTGCTCATAGTCATACAAGGGGTGTTTTAACAGTGAATCTTAATTATTTCTTTATATTTATATTATATCTGTTCATGTTACCAGGGGTGATCCATTCATGTTGCAGCAGTCTACAAATCCAGCACCAGGAATTCTGGGACCTCCACCTCCCTCATTTCATCTTGGGGGACCAGCAGTTGGCCCAAGAGGAAATCTGGGTGATTATGTGAAATTCATATTACCTCTCCTTTAATAGTTTTACCATGAAAATTAAATGTAGTGACTAGGCATAAGAAGGCTTACTCAAATATTACTTAAAATTCACTGCATGAAAAGACATACTAATCATATATAATTGTAATATCCTCTCATTTGTCTTTGAAATTTGTCTTTTTTCAATTTAAAAGAATTATTAACTGCAAGTGTTGTTTCTTAAAAGCTTAAACATACTTTTTCCTCCATAAAGGTGCTGGAAATGGGAATCTGCAAGGACCAAGACACATGCAGAAAGGCAGAGTGGTCAGTATACAGAAATTGCTTTTACTTCATTTACTGTTTTGGGAGTGTGATTTAAAAAATAACTGAATCTGTGTCATGCTACCTATTATAGAAAGACTGGTATAGTTTGCATGGCATTGATAATAGTAAAAACTTGAAGTTGTGCCAGCTTGAGCCAAGAGGCTGGGACTCAGGATGATGTGATGATATGGGATGTTGATATCATAACTTGCGATTTTTACCCACTATGCTACAATGCTGGCCCATATATAATTTTTTTAGGGCTGTCTAAACTTGATTGAGCATCTTAGGAACCTTGATATCCAGTATGTACCAGTATTCAATATAAAAATGACAGGCTAGTGTTTTGCACAGTAGGTGGGACATCACTTGAGACAACTGCATCCCATATTTGGAGTACCTAGGTTCAAGTTCTCTGCTTCTGATCTAGCTTCTGTAAGCATTAGGACAGTGACCTAGCAAATAGAAGATATCTTTCCTTCCTTGTTCTGCCTTTCGAATAAATAAAACTTACTATGCCAATACCTTTTCAAAGTTTGAGATAATATAACCTAACCATTTGGTGATAGTTAGAATTTACCCAAATGACATTCACATTGCCTCTGTAGTATTTTAAATTCTCTAGAGTATTCAGCTTTATTTTCATTACTTTTCTAGTTAATTATAGGTTATATAAATTCTGATGTGTAAGCTGTTTTATACTGTTTTTAAAGACATTTTTACTTACATGGTATTTTCCTGATATATAGGAAACAAGCCGAGTTGTTCACATCATGGATTTTCAACGAGGGAAAAACTTGAGATACCAACTGCTACAGCTGGTGGAACCATTTGGAGTCATTTCAAATCATCTGATTCTAAATAAAATTAATGAGGTATGAATGGAAATAAACATAGTTATTCATACCCCTAATATATTTCCTAAAGGAACTAAATGATGTTGAATAACAAAAGGAACCCAATGTAATTTTTAAATAATCTATTTTGCATATAATAGAGGTAAACTTAAAATATGTCTATTCTAGTATTAGTAGATTATTGTGAATTTATAAATTATCCTTAAGTAGTAGTAGTCATTATTATTATACTACGATTAGGGCTGTGAAAGGAAAATTCTTTGTATAGCTGTTTCAGACCTGTATCAAAAAGATGCCAGCGACGAATGAGTTTACTATTGTGAATAGCAAATTGGCAAAATTGTTTTTTCTCGATTCTTCAAAATGTTTTCTTTTTGGTGATTAGATACACTGTCTGGAAACATTTTGAGCATTTTGTTTTTAGAAATAAATATATTTTTTGGGTACAATTTCAGGCATTTATTGAAATGGCAACCACAGAAGATGCTCAGGCTGCAGTGGATTATTATACAACCACACCAGCATTAGTATTTGGCAAGCCAGTTAGAGTTCATTTGTCCCAGAAGTATAAAAGAATAAAGGTAATATATATATGACTGTCTCTTTATTTTGTGTATAACCACACAGTTTAATACATTGTTTCACAGTATATTAGCTCTGGCTATGTGAAATTGTTGCTAAGAATTAGGATATTCTTAAATTATTTAATAATGATTATAGCATGCCTGTCAGCATTGACTTGCCCTTGTCTCTTTCTCATCCTCCCTCCCCGCCCTTTCATTTATTGAAGAAACCTGAGGGAAAGCCGGATCAGAAATTTGACCAAAAGCAAGAGCTTGGACGTGTGATACATCTCAGCAATTTGCCCCATTCTGGCTATTCTGATAGTGCTGTGCTCAAACTTGCTGAACCTTATGGGAAAATAAAGAATTACATACTGATGAGGATGAAAAGCCAGGTAATACGCACATCATATATGTACACATAGAAATGGAGGATTTGAAAAAGATTTTTTTAAAATGCTCTAAGGTACCAATATAGCTTCATGTTTAGTAATGAAAGTAGTTATCATCATCATCATATAGTTAACTTAGCCATATGGTGATGAACTGTTCATGGTAAGCAGTGAATGAATATTGAAAAGTACGACCTAAAAAGTAAATATTTTTTTCCTTTGCACAGGCTCTGAGCACTTGTTTTTAGGATTTGCTTTTAAATGTATTTGAGCACATAAGTTTAATTTTTCTCATTCCATTAGCATTATATGATATACATATATATAAAAGTGGAATTAAAAGTTGTGGGTTTATTTTGATGCACTATTTTAATGTTTATTTATTTTTAAAGATTTATTTATTTGAAAGAGTTACGCAGAGAGAGAGGGGGGTCTTCCATCCGCTGGTTTATTCCCCAATTGGCTTCAAGGGCGAGAGCTGCGCTAGTCTGAAGCCAGGAGCCAGAAGCTTTCTCTAGGTCTCCCACATGGGTGCAGGGGTCCAAGGACTTGGACTATCTTCTACTGCTTTCCCAGGCCATAGCAGAGAGCTGGATCAGAAGTAGAGCAGCTGAGACTCGAACCAGTGCCCTAATGGGATGCTGGCACCACAGGTGGCGGCTTTACCTTCTACGCCACAACGTCAGCCCCTCTTTTTTCCTTAAGATTTATTTATTTATGTATTTGATAGAGTTACACACAGAGAGAAGGCAAGGCAGAGAGAGAGGTCTTCCATCCAATGGTTCACTCCCCAGATGGCCATAACGGCTGGAACAGCGCTGATCCAAAGCCAGGAGCCAAGAGCCTCCTCCAGGTCTCCCACACAGGTGCAGAGGCCCAGGGCCTTGGGCCATCTTCTACTGCTTTCCCAGACCATAGTAGAGAGCTGGATCAGAAGTAGAGCAGCCAGGACTTGAACCAGCGGCCATATGGGATCCCAGCATTGCTGGGTGGCAGCCTTACCTGCTAGCTACATCACAGCCCTGGCCCCTCAATATTTACTTACTTAATGTACTCCTAAGGCAGAGAAAGGGATTTTCCATCCACTAACCCATTCACCAAATGCCCCACTGCTGCCAAGACTGGGCCTCCCACATGGGTGACGTTAACCCAAGTACTAAGGCAAAGAAAATAGAACAAAAAATGAAAGCTCAATTCTGTGAAAGTTAATTCCCCCCCCCCCTTTTTTTTTATTTAATTTCAGGCCTTTATAGAGATGGAAACCAGAGAAGATGCAATGGCAATGGTTGACCATTGTTTGAAAAAGGCACTTTGGTTCCAAGGGAGGTGTGTGAAGGTTGACCTGTCTGAGAAATATAAAAAACTGGTACTGAGGGTATGTAACATTTGATTTGTCATCTGTAAAAATGTTGTTTTCATATATTTTGAGTTACAACATCCTTGCAAGCAATTTTATGCATTGAAAATACAAGATTTATTTATTAAAGAGAACAACCTTTTCCCCATCTTTTGTAGTAGCAACTGGTTTTAAATTTGAGCATTTTTGTTGTGGGGTTTTTTGTTTGTTTTTTTAGATTTATTGATTTGTTTGGAAATCAGAGTTACAGAGAGAGAGGGAGAGACAGAGATCTTCATCTGTTGATTCATGCCCCAGATGGCTTGCAACAGCCAAGACTAAGCCAGGCTGGAGCTAGGAAACTGGCACCTCTATGAGATGCCTGTGTCACAGTTGGTGGCTTTACCTGTTAAACCACAACACCAGCCCTTTGAGGTTTGGTTTTCTTTTGTTTTGTTTTGTTTGATATTTATTTATTGAAAAACGGTTAAAGATCTTCCATCTGCTGATTCATACCCCAAATGGCTGCAATAGCCAGAGTTGGTCTAGGGGAAAGCTAGAAGCCCAGAACTCATATCTGTTTGTCCTGGATAGGTGGTAGGCGCTCTCTTCTGCTGCATTCTCAGCTGCATTTACAGGGAGTAGGAACAGAAATGGAGCAGCCTAGACTGGAACTGGCACCCATGTGGGTGCTGGCATCATAGCCAGCTTTTATGTGCTATACCATGATAATGGCCCCTAAACTAGTTCTGTGGAGAGAATACTTCTTCATTATTTTTATCTGAAATGTTATGTTAGTGGAGTTTTGTTACTAAAAAGATTTTTTAGAGCTTTATTATTTGAAAGAGCTACAGACAGGCGTTGGGGGGGGGGGGTCTTCCATCCGCTGGTTCACTCCTCAGATGGCTGCAACAGCTGGAGCTGAGCCAATCCGAAGCCAAGAGCTTCTTCTGGGTCTTTCATGCAGATGCAAGGGCCCAAAGACTTGGGCCGTCTTCTGCTGCTTTCCCAGGCCACTGCAGAGAGCTGTATCAGAAGTAGAGCAGCCAGGACTCCAACTGGCGCCCATATGGGATTGCCAGCACCAACAGGCGGTGATTTACCCACTACATTACAGCGCTGACCTCAACTGTTAAAATGTTTATATTTACTCTGTTTTGTTAATTTTAGGAGCTTTTGAATATAGGCAGTTTACATTCTTGAATGTTATCAGTGAAGTGGATAATTGTATATTCTCCAGTGGGTATATTTTAATGTGTGTGAAACTTTTTATCTTTTAGATTCCCAACAGAGGCATTGACTTACTGAAAAAGGATAAGTCCCGGTAATTTTATTTTTCCATGTGTTTACATATGCTAGAATGTTAAATTGATTATTTTTTAACTTAGAAAAATTATTGTGTTATTTTTCTTATTCCAGAAAAAGATCTTACTCTCCAGATGGCAAAGAATCTCCAAGTGATAAGAAATCCAAAACCGATGGCTCCCAGAAGACTGAAAGTACAACTGAAGGTAAAGAACAAGAAGAGAAATCAGGTGAAGATGGTGAGAAAGATACAAAGGATGACCAGACAGAACAAGAACCTAATATGCTTCTTGAATCTGAAGATGAACTACTTGTAGATGAAGAAGAAGCAGCAGCACTACTAGAAAGTGGCAGTTCAGTGGGAGATGAGACCGATCTTGCTAACTTAGGTGATGTTGCTTCTGATGGGAAAAAGGAACCTTCAGACAAAGCTGTGAAAAAAGATACAAGTGCTTCAACTGCAGCAAAGAAAAAGCTTAAAAAGGTATTTGCTTATTTTAATAAAACACTAGAGGAACTTTTCCAATTATTTATGTAAGTAGGGTCACTGAAAGAGAATAATGTCATTTCTAATGAAAATATCACACAGAAACCATATATTTATTTATTTAATTAATTAATTATTTATTGACAGGCAGAGTGGACAGTGAGAGAGAAAGAGACAGAGAGAAAGGTCTTTTGCCGTTGGTTCACCCTCCAATGGCTGCCGCGGCCAGCGCATCGCGCTGATCAGGAGCCAGAAGCCAGGTGCTTCTTCTGGTCTCCCATGTGGGTGCAGGGCTCAAGCACTTGGCCCATCCTCCACTGCACTCCCGAGCCATAGCAGAGAGCTGGCCTGGAAGAGAAGCAGCTGGGACTAGAACCTGGGGTGTGGCGCCGCTAGGCAGAGGATTAGCACTTAAAACAATATACTTTTGTGTTGTAGTGATACTTTATAAGTACTGATAAGGCAGCCTTTGAGTGCACCTTTTTAAACACAAAAATATGGGATAAAACAAAAGACCCATGGTGAACTACTTACTACCTGATAAGGATTAGAAAATGAAAATGCCTTTGAAAAGCGCCTATGGCTCTTGCAATGTAGGGTGAAACTGATTTTGGTGCTTTTTTTGCTGTTTATATCCCCAAATTCTCAGAGTAGATAAGGCTGAATCCAGAAGCCAAGCACCCAATCCATGCTTCCCTTCTGGTTTTCAGGAATATAGCCACGTAAGTAGTCATTCATACTTCCCAGGGTCTCTATTATCAGGAAGCTAGAATCAGCCAAGAATTGAACTCAGGTGCTCTGATGTATGATGTAGGTGTCTTAGCCACTGGGCAAAACACCCATCCAAAAATGAGGATTTTATTACGTATCCCATTTGTTCCTTCTAAACAAACTTAAAAAGTTAGTAATCCCAGGTATTGATGCCGTCCGTGATCAGTAACTTTTCTCTTTTTTTCTGGCTGGAGTGTTTGGTTGTGGATTATTACTCTAAGAGGTGCAGCCAAAATTTACACCTCAGCATTTTTACTCTGGAGCTTGATTTTTAACCTTAATACTATTTTCTCTATGTGACAGTTAAATTTTAAGGTATTGTCTTGCAAATAGTATCACGTACTTGTTTATCAGATTAGTTGACAAATTTCTTCTTTTTTTAGAAATTTACCTCAAAGAAAATTCTCATCTACTGGTTCATTGCCTGAATACCCATAATAGCCAAGGCCAAAGGCAGGCCACAGACTTAGTCCAGGTCTCTAGCTGAAAGGTAAAGACCCTGTTATTCGAGCCATCACCACTACCTACCAGGTCCTGCACTTTAGCAGGAAGCTGGAATCAGGTGCTGGAGTCCAGGGTCAAACCAAGGTACTCTGTTTCAGAACCCAGGCAACCTAACCATTATGCCAAATGCCTCTCTCTCTCACATTACTTAGCAGAAAGTGTCTCAAAGTGTAGAATATGAAATCCTTATATAATTTATTTTCCGCTCTCTGTATGAAGCAAGGCTTTCACTATTTAGGGTCTGTTGTTGTCGTTGTTTGGTTGATTCCATTTTGTTGTTGTTGTTTCAAGAGTTACTTATTTATTTGCAAGAGGGAGAGATAGATAAAGAACCAGTGCCCATACGGGATGCCAGCATCACAGGCAGCAGCTTTACCTTCTATACCACAATGCCAGCCCCAGTTATTTAGTTTTAGAACAAATTGTTTTAGAAAATCATCAGTGATTTTGGGGGAGAAAGGACAGTCAGTAATTAATGAATAAAGGCAAAGACGCTCTTTCCCTTCAAGTAACACAAATGGAAGGGATGCTACAAGATAATTGTTGCAGAGTAAATTTGTCTTAACATCGTCGTTTCTCAGGGAATATGGAAAGTTTTGTCACTCTAGATGAGGTTGGTGATAAGATTCGGAACTTAGAAACTTTGTAAATCGGGCTTGGCATTTAAATCTGGTGACAAAAATGATGATGGTTTGGTTGAAATTAAGGTGGACAAGATCGAGGAACTTGATCAAGAAAATGAAGCAGCGTTGGAAAATGGAATTAAAAATGAGGAAAATGCAGAACCAGGTGCTGAATCTGCTGAGAATGCTGACGATCCCAGCAAAGACACAAGTGAAAATGCAGATGGCCAAAGCGATGAGAACAAGGAGGACTATACAATCCCAGATGAGTATAGAATTGGACCATATCAGCCCAATGTTCCTGTTGGTGAGCTTTAAGGCTTTGTTCTTCCCCATTTCCCACCCCTTTCCCTCAAAAGACTCTTAGTGAAATGAGTTGTACTCTGATAGTGTTTTAAATAGTTTTTTTTGGTTGGGAACAAGTGATAAATCGTAATTGATAAATAGCTCTTTTCCTCTTGAAACATGTCTCCTGATTTTGTATTATGTTGCCATTTCATAATGTGTTCTCTTTCTCATAAAGGGTTCTGAAAATTGCACATTGACTTTGATTTTTCTGTGTTAATGTTTATCTTTTAAGAGTACCATTATGCCATTAGGTGAGACAAACCAAACTAATAGTATGATTTTTTTGCTTTGCTTTTAGCATAGGCTGTATTGGACTTCTCAATAATATAATGTCTGATTCAGATTATATTGACAGGTAAAAAGATTTGAGAATCCTAAATTTGTAAGAATGTATATTTGTGTTTCTAGGTATAGACTATGTGATACCTAAAACAGGGTTTTACTGTAAGCTGTGTTCACTCTTTTATACAAATGAAGAAGTTGCAAAGAATACTCATTGCAGCAGCCTTCCTCATTATCAGAAATTAAAGGTAAGGCTGAATCTAAAGGAGGAGAGTTTTTTGGTAAAAACTTAATAGAATATCAAGTTACAGAAATAAATATAATAAGTATTATGTGTACAGTATATCTCTAAATGTAGTTCAGAGCTTTATCCTAAAGGTAACATTTTTCTTTATTGGTGATTTTAAGCATTAATAGGTTCTAGAAACATCTGTTTAACTCCTAGTCATAACTCACTTTAATCAAATGACAGTTTTATGATTTCTAGCCCAGTAGAATAATAAAACTTTTTCAGACTCAAAAAAGACCATGTCCCTATTGAGTACTTTTTACATTTTTCTATTTATTTGAAAGACAGTTAACAGAAGGAAAGACAAGAACTCCCATCTGTTGGTTCAGAACCCTAATGGCCATAATGGCCTGGGTTGGGCCAGGACAAATCAGGAGCACAGGAGCTTGTTATAGGTCTCCCACGTGGGTGGCAGGGACCAAGGACTTGGGCCTTCAGATAAATTGTTTTCTAAAATGCTCCGAAATAAACCTTTTGAGCATTGTCATACCGTAAGTGGAAAATTCCACACCTAACCTCATAACATTATTTTCAGTCAATTTGCACAGCTGTGAAATACAAATGAATTTCGTGTTTAAACTTGTTTCTGCAAATTAAATAGAAGAAAATCTGAAATCCAAAGCTTTTAATGATCACAGCCTTTTTTGAGACGCCTGCTCTCTGTGGGCTGGACAGGCAGAGTAGACAGTGAGAAAGACAGAAAGGTCTACCTTTGCTGTTGGTTCACCGTCCAATGGCCGCCGCGGCCGGCACACTGTGCTGATCCGATGGCAGGAGCCAGGTGCTTATCCTGGTCTCCCATGGGGTGTAGGGCCCAAGGACTTGGACCATCCTCCACTGCACTCCCGGGCCACAGCAGAGAGCTGGCCTGGAAGAAGGGCAAGCAGGACAGAATCCGGTTCCCCGGTGCCCCGACCGGGACTAGAACCCCGTGTGCCAGCGCCACAAGGCGGAGGATTAGCCTATTGAGCCATGGCGCTGGCCGATCACAAGCATTTTTGCTAAAGTATATGGTATGTAGTCTTCAGACATACTCTTCTCTTGATGAGATAGATGCTAACCTTGAACTTTGGAAATAATTCCAAACCAAACAAATTCCATATTTTTAGAAATAACCTTACTTTGCAATAACATTTTTGAACTGTGTGTTTTTTATAATATGCATTTCCATATACTTTTTGAGGACTTCTGTATGTATTGCCTGGAAGAGTCTATACAACTTTATTGAAAAAAAATAAATCAGTTGCTAGCAGAGCTATTAGTTGATCACTCATCCATTGACAACTTATATCATTTATTCAGTGCTGTATTAAACAGTGACAGTATGCTTTTTAATTAGAAATTTGGTCTCACTTTTTTAAAGAATCTGTCAAGTTTGTTAAGGAATTACCGTTAAGCAATTCAATACAAGTATCTTTGCAAAAAATGACATACTAATTGATAATTGTCGTAACTGAGTGGTCAGGGGTTTTTGTTTTTGTTTTGGGTTAATGTTTTCATTTTAGGTATATAATGACTTCTATCCCTTAAATCCATTTGCAATACTGTCTTAACAGATTTCTTATGTCTAGAAATCATGTAGGGGTCAGTAAGCTATAGTTACAGCTTAGCTACCTTGCAATTCTGCAAGTATTGTTCCTGGCTGTTGCTTTAGTGCTACAACTTAGTGCAAAATTAAGTAGTTGAACAAATACAAAAATATTTGCTACTGTCTTTTAAGAAAATGATTGTCCAATGGATTAACAAATAAAACATTTAATGAATTAATGTTAACTGATCTCTCCTAGCAGTAGCATCAGTTTTATGTAAACTTAAATATCTTCATTTTCTCAACTCTCAAGGTTGCATGTACATTTAAATACCCAGTTTCACCTTTTATCGTTTTTTCCAATCCCTTTACTATAGTATTCTCTGAATTAGTTTACTTTTGTACCCTTGACTGATATAAATCAACTCACTCTTTTTTAAGATTTGTTTCTTTGAAAGAGTTAAGGAGGGAGGGAGAAAGATCTTCCTCTTCTGGCTCACTCCCCAAATGGTGGTAACTGCCAGAGCTGGGCCAATCCAAAGCTAGGAGCTTCTTCCAGGTCTCCCACATGGGTGCAGGGGCCAAGTACTTCTGCTTTCCCATGCGCATTAGCAGGGAGCTGGATCAGAAGTGGAGCAATACTACATTTTTGAATTAACATGTATGTTATGTTTTTCTTAAGTGATTTTGGTCCTGTAATTCTTTTCTTCCCCTCTCTTTTCAGAAATTTCTGAATAAATTGGCAGAAGAACGCCGGCAAAAGAAGGAAGCTTAAGATGTTGAAGAAGCTTAATGATTTCAAAGAAAATAATGGTTCTTTGTTTTTATTGTTAACCTTTTTTAAATACAATACTGATAGGAGAAAACTATTGTACTCTTTTGTTTTAGTGGAAAAATAATAGATGTCTGTTCATGTGTTAAGTGTTATAGCAAAAAATATGTGTACGGTTAAGTTAATGAAAAATAGTTTTTGTTTTATCGGGATGACAACAGACAAAAGTACTTTGTAGAGATTGACTCTGTAAGCTACTTAAGACAACTTGCACCACTAAGGAAAATAACATAGAACCATTCAGCGAAAAATGAAATTTAGTAGTTATAAGCTTCAAAGAAATGTCAACTTTTGATTCCATTCAATAAAGAACAAAACCAAGTGTATTTTTATTACTTTCATCTGAAACATTCCACATTTTAATCTGAGCCTTGCAGTCCTTTCATTTGGATTTGAAGCTTTTTTAGTTGTATTTCAGTTTTGGAAGACTTCATTATGTGAGATTGGCAGTTCAGATGCAGGTGCAGTTTTCTTTTAATGTCGTTGCTGTTGTTTAGATAATAAGAAATATTAAGTAATTGACTTTAGATTTTGTAATTTTTTTCCCTGAGTTCCTGCTAGATTTCGTATTCTAGTAGTTAATGTATTTTCAGTGAAATGTAAAAATGTTCCCGTTCTCTGACCAGTATTAATTTCTTGAGATCTTACTGCTTGTCACTTGAATCCTGTAGCTGTCATACATCTCTGGTATAAGCAACATTTGATTTCTGAAGTGTGTAGACCATCTCTTCATATTTTCAAGATGTAATTTTACATTTCTGCATTCTAAGACCAGTTTGGCCATAATTCTAGACGCACGCTTCTAATTCATGTACCTGCACATGTGACCTTTGTGAACAGAAATTTGCATGTGTAATCTGTGTTTACTTGTAACTTTCTGGTTATATACTGCTTATATCTGTGGATTCAAGTTACTGAAGTGAATACCAATAAAAAAAAAAAACCCTAGGCCATGTTCATTGGTTATACATGTTTGGAATGTTAACCAATATATTTGTCAGTTGTGGTTTTTATTCACTGTTACAGTTTTGTGCATGCTTTAACAAAGTATTACTTTTTTAATCTACAGTGAGTGTGACTGCTACTAAAGATCTGAATTTTAAACTTTTTATGCTGGTGGATTTCTTGTTCCTGTTACATAATTAAAAAGGAACTTTTGATTTTTAAAATCTTGTGAATTTAGAGTGTTAAATACAAAGAAATATCAAAAGATCATGTTTTAGACATGTCTACTGGTTTAACAATAAAATTGCATCAAATAGCAAAAATTAGTTCTGGTAGCCTTTAGAAATAATTAAACAGGGCTTCTTCTTGTACTAGATTATCTGTTGTGAGGAAAAAATTTTAATTTTAAAAATAACTGATAGGAGTTATCTTTCAGGCCCAAATATACTAAAGGATATTTCAGATAGTTGGGTGAAATTTTAAAGCCTCTCACCCTGAAGTATGGATGACTGTTTTAATGTAACATGTACAAAAAATCCTTGCCAGTGTTACTTCAATTTTAGCCTTTACTAATTACCCACTTTTGTTTAATTTCAAGTTTTAACTAACAGTAGCTACAGAAAACATTACATGTACAGTGAGATTTTTGTTTCCTGTCAATGAAAGCTTTTTTGTAACTCTTAACATTTGTTCAATTTAGCAAGTTGAAGAATAATTTCGGTGTCCCTAATTAAGATGTATTTACTTGAGAGGGAGAGACAAGAGGCAGAAATCTTCCATCTGCTTATTAATAGCCAAATCTGGGCCATGCCAAAGCCAGGAACCAGAAACTTCATCCTGTTCTCCAAAATGGGTGATAGGAGCTAAGTACTTAGGCCATTTTTTGTTGCCTTCCTGCACTCTAAAGTTGCAGAACATTTTTTCCTGCCATTATTTTAGCTTTTAAAGTCTTTCATTACAAGGGAAAGGGAAACTTAGAGAACTACCTTGAATTTGTTTTCCAGTTTTCTTTTACCCATTGCTGGTAAACTTAAAATCTGATCTTTTAGTGTTTAAAATTGTGAGATAAAGCAGTTCATGGTATGTAGTAGAAATTTGCAGACACCACAGAGCATTCTATAAAAGTTAGCAACAGAAAAAAATTTTGAGTCTCTGTTGGACTTTTAAGATATATTGAACTGGAGCTTTTCTTTGTCACAGTGTTTGGCCTTTGGGACACTTGCATCCTGTGTCAGCATTCCTGGTTCAGTCTGACTTCCCAGTTTCCTGCCATCCATGTGGAAGACTTGGATGAAGCTTCCAGCTATTGGGTTAGCTTTATGAACATAGAAGCAGCTTTATTGTTGTTCCTTCATCATAGAAAATGGTTTAATATAGCTGTAAGCTCAAGTTCTCGATGAGTTTGAGATTGTTTTTCCTGGCTAGGACCCTGAGCTGATTGCAGAACCAGCTGAGTTGAGAGAACTTTACTCTGATGAGTATTCTCTACCTACCAGAGATGAGAACCAAGGTGCTGGTGGGGTTTTTTGTATGTTTTGTTTTGCAAGTGCACAAATGTGTAGATGCAAAGAATATTTCTCAAATGTTAGTATATATCAAAATTACTTAGAGATTAAGACATTGCTGGATCTCAAGAGTTTTTAATTTGTTGGGTTCTGGATGAATCCTGATAATTTGCCTTGGACAAATTCCTATGTGGTAATATCCACCAAGGATAGACTGCATTATGAGAACTATTACTGTAGCTACAGAAAATGCTTGTGTAAGGCAGTTGTAGCCAAGATGCCTAGTTTTTTGGGAATTTGTGAAAGTTTTTTTTAAAGGTTTATTTGAAAGTTAAAGAGAGGTTGAGACAGAGGTCCTCAATCTGATGGTTTGCTTCCCAGATGGCCACAATGGCCGGAGCTGAGCTGATCTGAAGCCTGGAACTAGGAACTTCTTCCAAGTCTCCCCATGTGGGTGCAGGGGCATCTTCCACTGCTTTCCCAGGTGCATTAATGCAGAGCTGGATCAGAAGTGGAGCAGCTGGGACTTGAACTGGAACCCATATGGGATGTCTGGGACATTAACCCACTGCCACATGCTGGCCCCAGATTCCTAGTTTAGTAACTGCATCAAATGCACTGTTTTCAGTATTCTTCCAAAGCTAAAACAGTGAACACTCTTTAACTCTGCCTTTCAAGTAACAATAAACCTTAAAAATAATTAAACTCGGCCAGCGCTGCAGCTCAATAGGCTAATCCTCCACCTAGCGGTGCCGGCACACCAGGTTCTAGTCCCGGTCAGGGCGCCGGATTCTGTCCCGGTTGCTCCTCTTCCAGGCCAGCTCTCTGCTGTGGCCTGGGAAGGCAGTGGAGGACAGGCCCAAGTGCTTGGGCCCTGCACCCGCATGGGAGACCAGGAGAAGCACCTGGCTCCTGGCTTCGGATCAGCGCGATGCGCCAGCCGCAGCGCACTGGCCGCGGTGGCCATTGGAGGGTGAACCAACGGCAAAAGGAAGACCTTTCTCTCTTTCACTATCCACTCTGCCTGTCAAAAAAAAAAATTTTTTTTTAAACTCATTCGAAGTGGGTTTTAAAATGTTGAAGGCCACTAGTTTCAGAGCCCTAGGTTTGTTTTGTTTTTTTGTTTTCCTTGACAGGCAGAGTTAGAAAGGTCTTCCTTCCATTGGTTCACCCCCCAAATGGCTGCTACAGCGGGTGTGCTGCGCTGATCCAAAGCCAGGAGCCAGGTGCTCCCTCCCAGTCTCCTATGGAGGTGCAGGACCCAAGCACTTGGGCCATCCTCCACTGCCTTCCTGGATCACAGCAGAGAGCTGGACTGGAAGAGGAGCAACTGGGACTAGAACCTGAGGTGCAGGTGCTGCAGGCAGAGGATTAGCCTAGTGAGCCACACTGAGGGCCAAGAGCCCTAGATATTACCATCACAAATGTATCCTTAGTTTGAAAGGGACTGATTTATTTAGAGATACTTGAAAGTCCTGTCATTTGCTTTCTTCCCATGTTGGTGCCAGGATCCCAATTGAGCTGTGTTCCTCTTTAGGTTTGCATTACCTGGAATCAGAAGACTGGTATCAAATCTAGGTGCCCTGAAGTGGGATCCAGGCAACCTAACTGGAGTCCTATGTACTAAGTCAAACATGTACCACTGGAGTCAGAAATTTTAAGCAAGGTTATTGGGGCAGAACCATGATGTCTTAGAAATTTGCTGTCTTGCCTGGCTGGTTTGTTTTTCATTTATTGTTCACCTTTCTGAAGCACAACATAGGACCTAATGAGAAGGCTTAGTAATGGCTAGGTTGTTGAAATTTAATGTGAATGAAAAATGATTACCTCTCCTGTGGATCTAACTGGCTGACAATTGAAAATGGCTGAAATTCGGTATAAAGTACAAGCAATTGGGTAAAAGTATGAAGGTACATAATTTAGAAGTACTTGAGGTTACACTGGAAAAACACAGTACTGTCAGAAAGTAATAATTTCTTAGAGAATCAATCTTAAAAGGATTTACCTTAAGGTTTGTCACCTTGGTTTTCCTTTGAATTTTGTGTGTGTTGAATGAATAGCTCCCATCCACCAGTTCACTCCTCAAATGCCTGTGATTGTGGTTGGGCAAAGCCAAGCCATTAATTCAGGTTTGCCAAGGTGTAAATTAGCGGGAAGCTAGAATCAAGAGAGGATCCAGATGGGACAATGTGGCGCAGCTGGTTAAGCAGTGTCAGCGTCCTATATGGGTGCCATTTTGAGTCCCGTCTGCTGCTGCTGATCCAGCTCCCTGCTCATATGCCTGGCAAAGCAGGAGAGTAGAGCCAAAGTTCTTGGGCCCTTGCATCCTTGTGAGAGACCTTGAAGAGGCTCCTGACTCCTCGGTTTGGCCTGGCCAACAGCCACTGAGGCCATTGAGGGGAGTGAAGCAGCAAATGGAAGATCTCCATCTATCTGCTCTCAAGTAGATTTTTTTTTAAAGAGTAGCCAGGATCAACCCAGGCACACTGAAAAGTAATGTGGACCTCACAAGTGGCCTGTTAACTGCTGGGTCAAATCCCACCCTATTTTGAGTTTTAGAAAAAAGCTTTATAATTTTGAGGACCAGAGGTGCCATTGTGCTGTGAGTTAAACCCACTGTGTGTCCCACATCAGTGCTAGTTGGAGTCATATTCCACTGTCAATCCAGCTTCCTGGTAATGCACCTGGCTGGTAGCAGATGATGGCTTGGTACTTTGAGTCTCTGCCACCCATGTGCAAGACCCAGATGGAGTTTGCACTCCTGGCTTTGAGCTGGCCAAGCTCTAGCTGTTTGGACATTTTGGTAGTTACCCAGCAGATGGAAGATCTTGTTTCTCCTTACCGTTCAGATGTGTTGAGGTCACGTGCAGATAAGATCAGTGCCTGGGATGGAGTCTTGCCTCTGCTTCTAATGCAGCTGCCTGCTAATGTAAGTGACATGACAGCTCAAGTGCATAAGTGACCTTGATGGAGCTCCTGGCTCCTGGCTTTGGCCTGGCACAGTCCTGGCTGTTGGATGGAAGATAACTATCATTTAAATAAATGAAAATAAAAGGTAAATGTACAGTAGGTAATAAACTTACATAAGAAGTGGAAGATTTTAAGGAAGTTGGAGCACTCTACTGTGTATTAGACAAAAATTGATTATCTCATCCCCACAGAACATACATGGCTACACTGAAAGTTAATGGTGTAAGTTAAGGCTTAGTGACCTTTATTTGAGCAATGATACCATACTTACGTGTTAATGCTGAATTGATTCTAACAATTTGAACCAAATGGGAATAAACCAAGAGTCCTGCCTGTTAACTAGAACGACTAGAACACAGTGTTCATTATAGCTCTGCTCTCCCTGTGGGTGCTGTTCCTCTGCTCAGTTATTGTTTTGGATTTTTTTTATGCTTGCTTGAAAGGCAGTGTTAACACTGCCACTCCCCAAATGGCCATGGCATCTGGGATTGGGCCAGGCTGAAGTAGATCCAGGAGTTTTCTTGTAGGTCTCCCATATTGGCGGCAGTACCCCAAATTCAGGTGCTTCA